GAGAAACGACCACTCGACCCTATCATATGCCTTAGCCATATCTAGCTTCAGCACAAGGTTCGGGGCTCGTAACCGGTTCGCATGAGAGATGTCATGAATCATCTCCTGAGCTAAAAGGATGTTATCACTGATGACTCGATCCTTAATGAAACCCTCTGGTTCGGAGAGATGAGGGAAGGGAGAAGTGGGGCTAGGCGACCGTTAAGAATTTTGGAGATGATCTTGTTGGTCACATTACAAAGGCTAATAGGTCTATAGTAGGACCAGGAGCTCGGGTCAGGTCTCTTAGGAATCAAAACAACAGAGGTCGCTGTGAAAGACTCCGGCATCTGGTGACCCGAGAAGAAATCCACCATAGCTTCCTCAACGTCAGTCTCAACAATCTCCCAGCAGGCCTGAAAGAAGAGAAACGAATAGCCATCTGGACCAGAAACACTGTTGGGGTCAATCCCAAAAACGGCCTCCCTGATCTCCTCCTTACTTGGGAGGTCGCATAGGTTAACAAGGTCGACCGTCTGCGGGATGGTGGGGAAAAAGAAAGCGTTGGGGGGAGTAAACAAGTCGCCATCTGAGGTGAAGAGGGACTGGAAGTGTGTCACAGCCGACTCCCGAATCTGGGACTCCTGAGTCAAGGAAGACCCGTTATCCTCGATATAATGGATGTACGACTTAACCCGCTTCTGCCTCACAAACCCCTGAAAGTACTTGGTATTACGTTCCCCCTCAGCAACCCAGCGAACAACGGCCTTCTGCTTCCAGAAATCCTCCTCCATAAGGAGACGGAGCTGGTACTCAGCGTGGCAGCGACGCATCGCGGACCTATTCTTCGGAGACGAGTCCAGATCATATGCTCGCTCAGCCTCCGCATACACACTCTGAGCTGCAGCAAGACGCTGAGAGATGTCACTAAAAGTAGTCCAATTCCACTGCTTCAAAACGCGCCTAAGTCTAACTAGCTTCGCCTCCAGGTTTCGCATGCTGAAAAGTCCCGTCGGGTGGTGCCAAGAAGTCCTAACCATGTCATGGAACGTGTGGTGGCGGATCCACATGTTTTGAAACCGGAAGGAGGAGCGGCGGGGGGTGCTCGAAAAACGACACCGGATAAGAAGGGGAGCGTGGTCAAATTTAATTCGAGGGAGGTGTTTGACGGTCGTGACCGCAAACACCCGTCCATGCCTCAGAGATTAAGGCACGGTCGAGCTCTACTTAACTCCGACCCTCTCCCACGTGAATGATGAACCTTCGTATCCAGCATCGATTAGCTCACAATCCGCTACAGCCTGAGAGAAATCTAACATCTCAGCAGAGCGGTCCGACTGGCCACCAATGCGCTCATCGGGGTGGAGAAAGATGTTGAAATCACCGCTAATCATCCACGGTGATCCCTCCATGCTCTCAGCAATCTCACGCATGGTGTCCCACAGATCATAGCGACCAACCCTCGAACAACTGGCATAGACCAGGGTGTAGAAGATCGGTTCCGGGAGATGGGCGGCAGAGAGCTCAACTTGCAAGACCTGATCCATGTCACGGATGATCCGACAGGTGAAGTCTTGCGAATGAAAGAACCAGATCTTGTTAGATATGTTTCCGACGCCGGAGTGGAAACCAAGGTGCCATGAGTATGAGTCAAAAGAGGGGTTATGAGTCATGGGCTCTAGAAAAGCAGCAAAGTCTATACTATGGTCACCAACTAGGGAACGAACGTGAGCAAGAGTGGCCCTATTAGCCAGGCCACGGGAATTCCAGGTTAGGGATGTGACTGACATATCAAATGTCAGAGGTGCCACCTAACTGGGTCTGCCCGTGGCTAGGCTGAGTCTGTCTATCTGAGAGGGGTAAGTCTTGGTTGACCGAGCGCCGCGTGGACCTAGATCTGGTCTGAGGACGGTGGTGGGCAGGACTCGCAGAAAGAATATCCTCCAGAGATCTGGTCTGAGGATGGTCTGGGCTCTCCGAATGGGATCCTCCTGGGAAGGCAACTGGGGTCCTCCCGGACGCGCAACGATTAGGACCCGTCATGGGTGGGTGAATGTCCCGACTTCTCGGGAGGGGGGAGAAGGTCGACAGGCAGGGCCGAGAGAGCCCCGACTGTGGGCAGGGATGTGGCACTAATTGTGAGTACAACCAAGTGCTCACTCGCGGGAGAAGGGGAGGGGGAAGTCTCAGATCCAACTAAGGGCTGAGGGTCAGGGTCCTCCATAGAGATAAAGGGGTCACTAGGCTCCGCAATGGCATGGGAGCTAGTGGCGAGGGGAGTGGCTAGAGAGGTATGTGCTAAGGGTACAGACGGTCCTGTCTCATCGTCCAGGAGGTCATCATCATCAAGGAGAGAGCGGAGAAAATCTCCTAGGGGCTGGAGGTGGAAGCAGGCTCATCCTCTGTCTCTGAAGCGAGGACAGAGAAGAAGGAGTGAACGGCCACGGGGGCCGTCTGGAGGGACTGACGAGGGAATAACCCCGTAGCTCTGGACTTTGGCATGTCCAATGTAACTCCCTTTGGTCGGTTAGGCTGGGAAACCTTTCCTACCTGGTAGGGAATCTCAATAACAGTCTTACTCTTGTCCTTCTGTCCCTTCGGGGACTCAGACGCTCGGGCAGAGGCCTTACCCTTCCCCTTTGAGTCCCTCGGAACAGCTGAGGGGCCCGATCTCACACGGCGACGAGGAGGAAGTGATGGTCGGGGCTTGTTGCCCCTAGTGTAGCAATCAGTCTCTGCGTGACCCACATGGTCACAAAGGATACAATAAAGAGGAACTCTCTCATAGACCACCTTTTGAGTGGTGATCTTTCCTCCAGTGATGAGCTCACCACGCAGATCTATCTCTACGCACACCCGAGCAACAGAGAACTTCGACCTATTGGCTGTTGCGTCATCAACATCAATCGGATTGCTAATACAGCTGACAATCGAGATGAGGGCAGTGGGGTAAAAAAGTATGAATGGGGAGGCCTGGAAGACAACACCAGACTGGTACAATAGGAGACTCAGTGGAAGGGGAGAAGTCAGGGGTGTACTTGAACACCCGAGCAGAGCACCCACAGACGTTCACATTCGTCTTAATCCAAGTTGTGTTGTAATCATCTCTCAAGTCAAAAAACACTAAATAGTGGTTATATTTTAAATACTTAGGAGTAAACCTACCCTTATAACCCAGTTTTCCTAGTCCAGCAGATAAGTCTCGGAGGAAGGGGACAGAAAAGGAAAACTTAAAAATAAGGGCATTCGCAAACGGCTCGACTAAAGAAGAAATATCATGCTCAGGAAAACTACAAAGTAAACCGACCCTCCTCGGAGCGCGTGATAGTCCCCCTTTACTTGTTCCGAAAGGCCTGAAGCGGTAGTCTTTTTGTCCCCGACTTGTCGGAGGGATTGCCGAAGATCGCATCACGGAAAGATCGGGGTCCGGAGGAGGGCACAGCTGGGTTGGCGGAGGCTGCAACCGAGGTAGCCCCGGGGGCTGAGAGCCGGAAGGGGCCCGTCCGTGGCTGACTTGGCAGACTAGTATGAACGGAAGCCATAGACGTCAGAAGAGTAGTCGTCAAGGGCCCGGTGGCCGGTAGGGTGCTCGGTGTGGTGCCCGTCGGGGACTGAACAGCTCTCATGATTCCGGGGAGTGGGTTAGAGCTTCCGGCTGTCTGTGGAATGGTGGCCGTCGGAAAAATGGGCATGGGGCCAAGAATTCCGGTCGCGGAGAGGTCGCCGGAGGGATACCGAGGTCCGTTGCCGGCGCCGTCCCCGGCGATGGGGCCGCCGGTCGCCGGCAATATTGCTGCACCGGCCGTCGGCGGCTGAAGACCGACAGGAGTGAAGAGGGTCACAGGTGCTGTTGTCAGTCTGGTTATTTGGGCTGAATTAGAGGAAGTTGGGGAGTTGGTTTGGGAGTAGGATTTGGAAGAAGGCCAAATTATTTTTCTGTTAAGTGAGGGAGTAGACTTGGGCCTGGGGAGTGGCCCAAATGTATTTTTGTTAAATGGGCTGTCCAGGAGAGGATGAGCCACGTCATTTTTGAGCTGAGGGGTAGGGTATGCGCCGTCTGAGGAGGTTTGAGGATTTTGGTTGGCCATCAGGACATGGACCAATCTTACCGGCGGCAGTGTTGCCGGATTAGTCGGAGGCGCCGGAAGAGTTCCTTCACCGGCGACGGGGACAGAGGTTGAAGACGGGGCAAGGATCTTGGGTGAGTTTCCGGATTGTCGGAAGGATGACGACAGGTTCCTGTCGGCGGCGGCGGAACCGGCGACGGCATTCATCACTGTGAGGTCGGAGGCTGGGATTTCTCCTTCTTCCGTAAGTGAGCTTTTATCTATCAAAAAATTACTCAAGGCTTTTTTGACGTCTGGTTGAGCTAAAAATCGATTAATTCCGGCAGGGAAAGGCTGGCCATGGCCGGTGGAGATGCTGCCGACAAAGTTGGTGAGGTGGTAGTCGGGGGAGACATGGAGGTCGAGATTGAGAAAGGGGAAAGGGGGGAAAAGACGGCCTGGAGGCCGGGGCGAGCCGCCGGCGCCGGCAGCCGACGAGGATGGCTAGGTGAAAGTGGTGGCCGGAGAAGAAATAGGGTGAAGAGAGGTGGGTTTGTTGAATTTGAATTTTAGAGAGAGAAGCAGTTTAGAGAGAGGAGAGAGCATCGATTAACAGGATACGCACACAAACTCTAACATGGTTACTCGACATAGTATACAAATGTAGAAAAGCTCCAACAGAGAAGATACAAGCAATAGAAAAAAAATAAAATAAAAAAAATAACGCTATACAAATGTAGAAAAGCTACAACAGAGAAGATACAAGCAGTAGAAAAAAAAAATAAAAAAATAACGCAGCACAGAAATACTAAGCTGCTTGAATGGAGAGGGTGCATAAAGCTCTATCCACAACATAGAATCTAACAAAATAGTACTTGCACGGAAAAGATGTGTCACCATGCTGAACATGAACAATTGCCGAGGAATTTTGCACCGCATTAGGAAAATTGATCCCTCGTTGCTATACAGGTTGCCATGGTGGACGAGAGGAAGCTTGGTCACGTCAGATCCGGAAAACGACAAAGGCCGAACACGGTGATGTAGCTGACGCACCGTGGGTTATTCCGGCAGAATATCGTGAAATTCTCCAAAATAATTTCTGCCCAACTCTTTCCACTTAAGCACATGTATGATGAACATATAAAAATTCAACACTCTTCCTCACTAAAAAATCAGATTTGCTTCACTGGGATTGTTTTTGTTGTGTACTTGATCAAATAGCCTACTATTCCTCTCAGATTAATTTGCTATGCAAGTTTATGACTTGGACTATTTTTTGGTAAAAATCATGACAGAATGTGAAACTCATTAGTTGCAAATGATTGATCACATATCAATTGAAAACGTTAAAAACCCATTTGTATATTTTAATTGTCCAAAATTGATTTTCAGAACCAGGCAAAAAAAAAAAAAAAAATATGTCATTTGTCAATCTATTTATATTTGTGCAGCATTTTTGTTCTTTTTGTTGAACTGTATATACTATTTTGCAGCCTAATATGACATCAGACAAAAAGCTTAAATATAAGAGGGATGTATAGTAAATAGAAAAGTGTTGTCTGACCTCTCCATTTTAACTCAACCCATATTAACCCATCACACTGACTATGAGTCTGTTAGAAACATTCTAACATCTCCATTTCAATCTAAGGCGAATTATCCCGTCTTGCTTTCGTTTTCGCAAGTTCCCCGGTTTTGTCCACTGCATGAGCTGCCATTGTTGCCCGTCGAGAGTTTCTACAAACACTTGCTCCAAATCGTGCCTCCAAAAGTAGGGCTCCGTCCTGACTTTCTTGTCTGCAAGCAAGATGTTTAACTGAAACGCCGAGAGCCTGTATTTTCCGGCCGACTTGTCCACGAACCAACAACCACATACGTGACTCGGTCGACAAACACGGAACAAGCCATTCGTAAACCCCATATACCAAGACGCTGTGCGCCATTTACAAGAATCAAAATTCAAGTCCCTCACAGCCACAGGCGGCTCGTCACTGACAACAGCACTACATGGCACATTCTGAGGGCCGCCATTCATCTGCAGAATCACAGAAATTTGAGACCCACTTAGTGCCTTGAGCATTCGTCTCAGCTTAAGGAACCACACATTGACGTCGAAATCGGGATCTTCCTCACACAAATGGAATATTACATTTGAATCCCACTCCTTGGAAGTAGTGGTCGTGAAAGAGAATGTGTCCGGCACCTGGGGAATACGGGCAGTGAATTCAAAATGGACAATGTTGGGGGCACAAATGGTAACTCCTTTAAGGGGTATTATTCTTGTCGAGATGGTCAACCACTTGATCGTATCACTTGCAAGATGGAATTCCTTGAAACCGGAGCAATTATTTAGGGTCAAGCTCTCAAGAGTCGGGCAGCCGAACGATAACAAGTCAAACGACTCGCTCGACAGGATCACCTCATTGAGATCCAAACTCGTGAGACGAGAGAACAATAATGCGCTTTGGCGGTTAGACCAAATCCATGGGCCCTTGATGCGGACCGTCTCGAGATTTGGGACATCGATTTCGATGCTACCCCCTTCGAAATAATCCAATTCAAAGTGCTTGAGCCCACGGGATGCTACCTCGCTCACCAGTCTAACGTTTCTTAACCCCAGACAACTAAAAAGGGCCATCCGCTCGAGCATAGGGCAGCCCAACATTATGCTCTCAAAAGTACCGACATTAATGAGGACCCATTCGAGGGTGAGCGTGCGCAAACGTTTAAACCGCACGCTCTCGACTGGGCTCACCCTGCACATGAACAGGTGTAGTTCTTCCAGGGACTCGGCTACGAAGACTGCCGAGGGCAGGATGTCATAGAAAGGAAACTTGAGTTTGAGGGCAGGTATCGTCGGGATCCATTTGTCGAGAAGGGAGACGGCTAGTTGGGGCCTCGATATCTCGAGATCGAGTTTGAGTATAGAGAGGTTTTGATCACAGTATCCTTGTAGGGTTCGGTCGACGACCGAGACAAACTTTTCTTGTGTGTCGAACCATAATTCGGAGAAGTCGAGGTTGGGGCGGGTTGTTCCGATGTGGCGCCATTGTTTGGAGAGGAGACATGTTCTTACCGCTTCTTTCTGGGAGAGGAAACAGAGAATGTGGTGAAGTATAGGTATTGGCACTTGGGATATTCTATCCTCCATGGCTGTGTACAGAGTCTCCCCTGTTTCTGCCGCCTGCTTTTGCTTTTCCATAGGAGATATTGTGATGTGAGAACGATTTTCTGCGTCTGCTGAATGAATCAACCCTAAAATGCTGGTTATTGTTAATAATAATAATCATAATAATAATAATAATAATAATAATAATAATAATCGTAATAATGATAATAAAAACTAGCGTCTTTCATTAATAAAAGGTTTGATTATATTTAAAAAAACTATCACAATTTGTAATATTTACTAGTACTTTAAATACGGCACAAGTAATCATATCGGACGAGCCACCAGTACGCGATTTAACCAGTTTTACTGTCTATTTTATCAATTTAAAATAGACAGTAACCGGATAATCCATGACGTATTTTAAATACATAGGCATAAAACAAACAAACAACACTACATACAAGAATCACCACTGATATAATACCCATATTAGCTCGATGAACCGATTTGAGTAGGGCTGGTAATTTTGTACCGAAAACTGAACCGAACCGAACCGACAAGAAAAAAGACCGAACCGAATCAAACCGCTTGTAACGGTAACCGAAATCGGTTACCGAAATGTTACCGGTTCGGTATCGGTAAAATCGAACCGAACCGATAAGAATAACAAAAAATAAAAAAATAAAAAACTTAGTAGACTTATAGATATAGTTACAGATTACTTGTTTAGACATTAGTACTTTAATCTAGTATTTAATATCTTATTAGAGTATTAGTTAATAGTGATTACATTAGGCTCAATTTTTTTTTTTTAATTTAACTCAATTNACTTGGAGCCTTGGAAATGAGAATCATTTTGTTGGGTTTTTTTTTTTCGGTTTTTTCGGATCAAAGTCGAAACCGAACCGAGTTTTCAATAACCGAAAATTCATCATGAATGTTGAAACTTAATGAAGTTGCATTATTATTGGTAAATTTCAGTTTTTTCGGTAAAAAACCGTTACCGAAGCAAGTTTTCGGTACCCGAATATTCGGTTACCGATAACTATCGGTACGGTAACAATTTCATATTTTGTTGCTACCTAATTAATCGGTACGGTATCGGTTTGCTCTTATCGATTCGGTAACCGAACCGATACCAACCCTAGATTTGAGTGGCTAGCTCTGCTACGGCTGGTTCAAGGGAGCTTCAGCTCAGTATCAGCGTCTGACCTCGTAAAAAAGCTCACTTAGACATCTCGGGGTTCCGGAACTGTGGTGGCGGTGGCGGCGACCGGGCATGATGGCGACGACCGACTGTGCCAGCGGCTGAGTGGGTGACCGTTGGTGGTTCTGCCTGTAACTGTGTGTAGTGTTTGTTTTATGGGTACTCTGTGTGTGTGTGAGAGAGAGAGATAGAGAGAGAGGGGTGTTAATGAGATGGGTGGTGGGGCCCATTGGTGAATGTGTAATGTCTGTTTTACCCTCAGTGAGTTATCAAATATGTATATTTGACCACTAAATGTACACTTATTTGGGAAAGTGCCATCACATGTTTGACTTTCATATTTAACTTTGATTTGATCATGACCAATAATATATTAGATCCAATGGTCGAGATTCATTCTTATTTCTTTCACTATCTGTTATTCTCATA